CTTACTTAAGGTGATATACGAATTCACAATCCAAGGGGAAAGCCTCATAAAAGTAGCGTAACATTAAATACATCTTACAAGAGAAGCATTTAACTTGGCAAGATTAACAAAATAAAACACATGGGTTAGATTTCCCTTAAAATACACAGCGGAATAAAACGTGCTCAGCCAAATATTCTTCAGCATTTGCCAAACTAGAAACATCTGAAAATAACCTAAGAGCTTTCCTTAAACCACAGTCTGTTTCTGGCTCCATCTGCCACTTAATAAGTGTTGTTTTAATAATGAAGTGCATCAAGGATGGGCGACATCCAGCCTACAAACCATTCATTTTGAGTTAGTTAGGATAAAGATAATAGTATTGACATGAAAAAAAATAAGCTTGATTTCATGGTCTTACCTTCTCAGCATCCATTTCCTATCAGCCTCACTAGCTGTACTTTAATATGCAATTATAAACAATTAATGAAAAAAACTTGCCACAAATTTGAAAGAAAGGAGGGGTTTCTGGGAGGGTTTGAAGGTCAGAAAAGGAGGGGGAAATGATGTAATTATGTCATAACCTCAAAAAATAAAAGAAGTCATAAAAAACTAACCTTTTAGAGCTGATACAAAAATACTTGCAAATGCTAATTAAGCACATACAGAATAAAATTCAGTATATTTCTAGAATATATGTACTTTTAAAATCATATTAAAATGCACTTTTTGATATAAAAACTTAAAATTCCATTTCCAATGGATGTGGTCTAGGTAAATCTGATTGTTTTGCCAGGGATTAATAAAATACAGAAAAATAAGTTTTAACTGTTTCAAGACTTTGAAGATTATATGGATAGAAAGCAAGCATAAGAAAAGATATTCACTATGATAAGCCATGAGGCTAAAAACAGAACAACAAACCAAGAAAATAAATCCAAAAAGCAAAACTGAAATTAGCTGCTACTGTGCATACACATTAAAGCATCTAACGTTAATGATACAAGGAGCAAGCAGAGCTGGCCATACCAACTATTGGTGAAAATGTAGAAAGGAGAACTTTTCATTGATAGTAGGGATGTCTAATAAAACAAGTCCTTTGGACAAACCACTGGCAATTTCTTAAAGAAATATAGACCCGGCCTTCTAGATCTATGTTTTTATACAAGAGAAATGAAAATACACATATACACTAATGTATGTGAATACTGTAGCAGCTCTATTTGTAATATTCTAAGTTAGACTCAAATCCAAATGGGTAAATTGCAATTTATCCATGTAAGGATATACTATTTAGTCAGATAAAGATTCAATCACCTAGACGAATCTCAGAATAATTATACACTGTGAAAGTTGCTGTGAATATCTTTCTGTATGCTGTGAATAAATGTTGTTCCCATTGGTTAATAAATAAGCTGCTTTGGCCTATGGCAAGGCAGCTTAGAGGCAGGCAGGGAATCCAAGGAGAGAAACAGGAAAGAGAAAGACAGAGTCTGGAGAGATGCCAGCCTGCTGCCCAAGGAACAACATGCCAGCAGACAGGTAAAGCCACAGAACACGTGGCAAAACATAGATGAATAGAAATGGGTTAATTTAAGATGATAAGAGCTAGCTAGCAAGAGGCCTGCCATAGACCATACAGTTTGTAAACAACATTAAGCCTCTGAGCTTTTTATAAGCTGCTGCAAGACCTCAGGGCAGGGCGGGAACCGAGAAATCTTTGGACTACAGAAAGTCGCCACTAAAATAGTTCTACTGCCTAGTTCCATTTAAATAAATCCAAAAAATTCAACCAGTCTTCGGTTACAGAGAGATCTGTGGTGGGTTACCTATGACAGGAAGGGTGTCAGACACGTGAAGGAATTACAGAGCCAGGAGGAAACTTTGGCAAATGGTAAGCTACTGTCTTCATTGAGATGACTTCCCAAATGTAAACTACATCAAAACTTACCAACGAGCACACTTAAAATACACAGAACTGTCTTGGTTATACACCAAGAAATGTGTTTAAAAATTATACTTAGTGCTGGCAAAAATGGAGAAAAGACACATGCCTATGCTGTTGACGTACATGTAAGCCCTAGATCCTCTGAAGGACATAGTTAATTTGTCAAATCTTCAGAGGTGTACTCTTGGATCCGGATATTCAACGGATAGGGCTTGGTTGTAAGGATATTAGTTAAAGTGCTGTGAGTCTCACGGTACTGATACGGAAAAAGAGGAAAGCCTGAGCATCCATCTGTGTTTGCCACGACTGGAGGTAGCACGCTGTGAGGGTTTAGAGCTTCGCCCCACCTCTGGTTCCCATGCTTTCTGCATGAAATTTGGAGATGTGACCGTTCAGCTTCCTGCTCCGGCTGCCTGCTGCCATGGCCCCCACCACCATTATGAACTCTTCCTCTGGAACCATAGCCAAAGTAAACTCACTTTTCCATACATTGCTTTTGGTCGTGGTGTTTTATCATAGCAACAACAACAAAAAATAACTAATAACCTGAGGTGCAGCGTGGAGCTGGGTGAGAAGGGCAGACTCTGGCTGGGCTGTCTGGGTTCATGGCCTAATATATACTAGCCATGTAACTTTGGGCAGTGTTCTTAGTTTTGTTTTTAAGTATTTGATTTTTTTTTTAACAGGGTGAAGATTTTAATGGTGCCCACTCCATAAAGTAGTTATGAGAATCCTATGGGGTAATATTTATATGATTCTTGGAATTATGACTGGAATGTAGTAAGTGCTACATGAATGTTTGTTAAACACACATCAAAAAGAGTACTCTGTAAGTGTTTCCTTGTGCACAGAAGCAGGAACTTGTGTAATGCCCATACCCAAAAAGATAATTCTAGGTAGTCAGATATGAAAAACTTTAATTTTGTAAAATACTGGGAAATTTCACAAGTTAGTATAGTATACAAGAAGAACATTTTCCCTTTTTGTCTCACATCTGACTACATTTTTTTAAATGCCTTGATTTCATTTATTGGTAGATTAACGTGGTACCTTCTTAATGAGCCTTTAGTGGTAAGTGATAAGATTAAATGTATTTTAAATTTTGAATGTATTTATAAATTATCTTAAATGTCAACTCAAATTTGCAGTCTTGGGGGCTTAGAGAGATGGCTCAGCAGTTAAGAACACTTGTTGCTCTCACAGAGGACCAGGGTTTGATTCCCAACACCCACAGGTGGCTCAAAACTATCTTGATTACAGTTCCAGGGGATCTAAGTGTGGTGATATTTTATCTGTGTCCCCAGTAAAGTTTATTTGAGGATCAGAGGAAAAAGTCAGCCAGTATATTAAACATAGACATCAGGCAATGGTAGCACATGCCTCAATCCTATCCCTGGGGAGACAGGGATCTGTCTGGATCTCTGTGAGTTCAAGGCCACACTGGGAACAGAGCCAGGTGTAGTGGCACACTCTTTAAATCCCAGCACTAACAATAAAGTTTTGGAGGTCTGTACAGATAGACAGGAAGTGACATAGCTGGGCTGAAAGAGGAAGTGATGTAGCTGGGCAGAGAGGAAATGAGTTGGCAGAACAGAAAGGCATATAGACGTGGGTATACAGAAAATAGTTTTGTTTTGTTTTTTTTTTGGAAGCTGCATAGTTGGTGAGGTGAGGTGAGCTGTCTTTTCCTAGTCCTCTGATCTCTCAGGTTTTAACCCCGATAGCTGGCTCTGGGTATTTTATTTAATAAGAACTTTTAAGACTCGTGTTACATCTAAGTTCAGACATACATACAGGCAAAGCACTCACACACATAAAATAAAATAGTTTTTTAAAACTTGCAGTGTTTTCACATACACACACACACACACTATTCTTATTTCTTACTGATTTGAGATAGTATTTGTATACATTTTAGATCCTAACGTTCTCTCAGTAACCTATGCTTTAATAATATTTAGATTATATGGTGGTCTTAGCTAATCAAAAATTACTTTCTATTTTAAAAAACTTGAGGAACATATTCACATAGTTTAAAAAATTTAAATATATATGTTAGGAGGTACAAAAAGTGTTACCTAGTCATGACCATACCCGTCTCCCATCTACTTTGTTTCTGCTTGGCCCTCAGTCTTAAGAAACATATACCCCTTAAAAACTTCTTAACTCAGACATAAGCAAATATAAACAAGCATATTTTATTTCTCCTGTTTATACTTACGTACATGTGGAGGAATGTATCTATGTCTCAACGAGCTCTTTCAGCAAGGATATTGAGATGTGGGTAGGGGTGACTTCCTCTTGTTGATTCTGCTTAGGATTCTGTAGCAGTTAGGTGTCCATTGCTGTAACAAATACACAAGAGAAAAGATTCGAAAGGAAGAAGGGTCCATTTCGGCTCATCCTTTCAGAGCTTTCTGCCCATGGTCACTTGTCCCCACCTATGTGAACCAGAACAGCACGAGATGGACAAAGGAGAGGGTTAGGGGAGCACTCGGCAGGGACACTCCACCAGGGCCCTGTGTCCAACAGCGACTCGCCTCCTACCTTCCCTTCATCCAGCTTCAGGTCCCTTGGAATCACCTCACACTTCCTGCTTCACTTCCCAGGGCACCTGTGTCCTTCCACGTCTTTACCTCCTGACGCTTCACTCTCTGGTGTGTTTTCCAAACCTTTAAAATCGTTTCTGGTGAAATTCATTTATGTTGTTTTTATAAATCACGTTTCTGGTACTAATTGTAAGAAAACTTGTCTTCATGTTTCTCCTAAAAAATTTTAGTTTTAGCCTTCAGTCTTAGGTCTAGGATAGATTTTTGAATTGGTTCATCATTCAAATTGTTTAATCAATTGTTACATTGAATTGTAAATCAACAGGTCTTTTCAAATCCATAAGTGTCCGGTTGTTCCAGTGTCGTTTGTGGAAGGAACCATTCTCCCCCAACACGCTGCTACACAAAAACCACAAGGGGTAGCCTTAGAGAAAGAGCACGAAAGGAATGGATTTCTGACGGAGTCTGCATGAGCAAAGTATTATTTCTCTCTCACAATTACCGTAAAATTTGCGGATGGAGATAGGTGGGCCTCAAGTTTTTTTTTTTTTAATCACAAAATGTTTTAAATGACAATTCAAATTTTTAAATCAATAAATATAGGATCATTCTGGTTATTCAGTTTTCTGGAGTTTGGGGGAGTGTTCTTTTTTTCCTTTTTGGAGTGAGGTTTTTTTAATTAATTAAAACATAATTCTATCATTTCTTATACCTTTCCTCCTGTCCCTCCCATCTCCACTCTTCCTCCCCCCCCTCTCAAATTCATGGCCTCCTCTATTGAACTGTGTCACATATACATACAAATGAGTAAATATACAAGCTGCTGCGTCCTCTCTGTGTGGCCTGTGTGTGTGTATGCTTCGGGCTGACCGTGGGTAGTAGATAACCACCCTTCACCCTTGGGGAAGAGTAATTCTCCCCCTCCCAGGAGTTGCTAATCGCTGGTGGCTCTTCCTCTAGGCGTGGGTCCACGAGATCTTTTCCATCTATCTATTTAGGATGTCGGTTGTTGTTGGAATTGTTCGGGTTTTGTTAAGGCAGCTATTGCTGAGCAGTGTTGAGATTTTTCTGGGCGTGGCTTCCCTGTTGTAGCTAGAAGGCACAAATCTCACAGCAGACTTCCAAGCGCTGCACACACACTTCCGTCCGAGATGCTCCCGCTGGGGCTGGGCACACCATGGTCAGCACTCTGCCTTCTCACGAGTTGTGTTTTTCTGTAATGGTCTCCTTGTGCTATAAAAAGAAGCTCCTCTGAGGAGAGGTGAGAACCGCACATGTCGATGGGCGTAAGGATAAGTACTTCAGAATGTAGTTAGGGGTCATACTGGCTCAGGAAACCGGCAATAGTAGGTTCTCTTCTCGTCCATGACCTCACTAGCCACATGCAGTTCGCGAGGTTTTCAGGAGCAGGCATGGTTTCCTTCCTGCTCCTTAGCCTTGAGTCCAATTAGACAGCTGTTGTTCACTGCTAAAACACTGGTGCTGCTCATTGACAATTTTCGTCCTTGTGGGAATTTGTCCGTTTCATCTAAGTTGTCAAATTTATTAATATAAATTTTCTAACATTTTGGTTGTAAGCCTAATCTTTAACAGCAGAGCTGTCTCTCCAACCCCTCGGATATTTCTTTATTTCTCTTTTCTCTTCAATTAATACCTATGTCTTGCACATATTAGTGTTAGTGTAGCTTGATCCCCTGGCAGTAGGATCAGGATCTATCCCTGGTGCATGAGCTGTTTTTTTTGGAACCCATTACCTATGGTGGGACACCTTGTACAGCCTTGACACAAGAGGAGTTGTTTGGACCTGCCTCAACTGAATAAACATATCAGGCTTTGCTGACTCCCCTGGGAGGACTTATCTTTTCCGAGGAAATGGGGGGATGGCTTGAGGGAGAGGCAGAGGAGGGAAGAGATGGGGGTCTGTGGTTGGTATGTAAAATGAATAAAAAATTTCTTAGTAAAGAAAAAATGATACTAAATAAATAAATATACATAAGGCATTGGCTATATAGATTCACCTTTTTGCTACCCTATTACCACCGTTCTCATGGTGGCACTCTTCCTAAATTGCTATTGTTTCAACAATTGAATTTTCAGGGTTTTTTTTTTAATTCATATAAGAGAAAAAAAATTGCATATTTATGTCTGACTTATTTTACCTATAAAATATCCTACAGCTGCACCTACTTTGTAGACTAAAACAGGGTTTTATTTCTCTTTGTGACTGACTAATACTTCACCATATACATAAACCACATTTTCTTTAGCCATTCCTCTGTTTATGGGCACCCAGGATGACTCTATAGCTCAGCTATGGATTTCAGTAGTACAGATGTTTTAACCATATTAACTCTTCCAACCACAGTCATGTGTCCAACCCTTCAAAGGTATGCTAGGGATATGAACTGAGGTCCTCATGCTTGTGTGGCAAACACTTTATAAACTGAACTACCTCTCAGCTGCAGACCTTTTTGTTCATGAAGATAATGAATTTTATCAAATGCTTTATCTGCACCTATTGCAATGATCACACGATTTCTACTTTTCATTGTATTTACTCGACATGCTATGTTTCTTGTTGTACCAGCTTTGCATCTTGGGATGAAAACAACTTGATCATGGTGTGCTTCTTGGGTTAGTTGTATTTTGTTAAAGAATTTTGCATCTTTTAATTTATGCAGGTAAATGATATTGATCTATAGTTTTGTTGTTGTGGTGGTGGTAGGGATGGTTGTGTACTTGCCAAGTTCACTAACAGTAATGGTATCCTCATAAATGAGTTTGAAAAAGTCTCCTTCCTTTCAAGTCTGTATAGTAGTTGAGTATTAATATTAGTTCTTTAGGAATTTGGTAAAATTCTTCAGCTAAGGCAACTGGGTCTAGGTTCTTTGTTGGAAGGCTGTTTATGGCTGGTTGAATTGCATTAGTTATTCACATGTTTATGTTTTTAATTTTTTATTAATTTTGGAAGGCCAGATATGGCCAGAATTTTGTCCACTTAATCTAGATTATTTTTAATTTGTTAAGATACATTTTTAAAAATAATCATTGACGGTCTTTTGGAAGATTTTTGTAGTAGTTGTAATGCATCCTTTTTCTTTTTTTCAAATGTCTCCTTTTTCAGGGCTAAGTTTGAGGTTTCTCTAATTTATCAATGCTCACCCTCAGTCTCTCCTTCCCTTCTTGCATTTTTCTCCATCCTCCTTTTTGTTAGGTGATGATTTTATCTCTTCAAAGGACCAACTCTGCTCTATTGATCTATAGCGTTAATCTTTCAGACTATGGCATTCATTTATGTACTGACCTTCATTAGTCAGTTTCTTCTACTAATTTGAGATTGGATTCTTTCTTGCCTTTGAAACTGATTTAAACAGCTCGTGAGGCTGTTTAAACTAATTCCGTTTTTATGTAAGCATTCATTGCTTAAAGCTTTCATCTTTATACTGCTTTTGCTGTGTCCAACAGGATTCAGTGTACTGTAGTAAGATTTTTCTTTATTCTGCCAGTTCCCAAATAATGACACTGAGACTTATTATTAATTATGAAAGCTCAGCCTATAGCTTAGGCTTGTTCCTAACTAGTTAATCTACATTCTATCACGTGGTGTTACCTCTCTTCCATCTTATATTTCCTGTTTCCTCTCCATGTCTCCTGATGTCTCCCCCTTTCTTTTCCCAGAGTCTTCTATGTATCCAGAAATCCCATCTAATCTTCCTGTCTAGCTATCGGCCATTCAGCTCTTTATTAAACCAATCAGAAGATGCCTTGGCAAAGACACATCTTCACAGTAGAAACAGATATTCTGCAGTGAAAGGATTCACACACAAAGAAGGTGAATGGTTTCTGAGTTGCTGAGATGCCATTGTAAAACACAAGGCACGGGGGAACACATTTCCACTGGAGAAGGGAACTGAGGTTGAGGAACAGAGCTAACAGGGCTTATGGGGCTCTGCCCTGCACTGTCAGCTCGTTTTCTACATCTTTTGTACCGTGTCTATGCCTTGGCTTTTAAATTAATGAAATTAATTTAATTAATGGCTCAGTGGTTAAGAGCACTCATTGTTCTTCCAGAGGACTGAGGTTTGGATTCCAGCCACGATGTGGCAGATCATAACCATCTATAACTCCAGTCCTAGGGGGTCTGATACCTTTTCTGTCCTCTTCAGGCACTCATGTGTTACACGGATGTACACGCATGCAGAACACTCATACACATAAAATAGAAATAAAACTTTTGAGAGATTTAAATCTAAAAATTTAAACAGTGTAAGTTTCTAATTTTAGAAGGAAAATGTAGGTGGATTTTTCTGTCCCAGACAGCTCCCAAATCATGACACAGAGACATAAATTATGAAGTTCAACCCATAGCTTAGGCTGTTTCTAACTAGCTCTTAGAACTTAAATTAACCCATTTTTATTAATTTATGTCCTGCCATGTGGCTCGTGGCTGTTAGCTCTCCTCCTGTATGTCCTGCTTTCTCTGCATCTCGCTTGCAGCCCAACCTTCTCCTTCCCAGCATTCTCTCTGCCCCAAAAAATCTGGCCTAACTATTGACCATTCAGCTTTTTACTAAACCAACCAGAGTGACACATCTTCACAGTATGCTAAAAGGTTATTCCACAGCATTTCCCCCTTTTTTCTAAATAAAAAAGGAAGAGTTTAACTCTAAAACAGTAAAACTATATATAATAAGAACAATTCTTATCAGGTAAAAATTACATTTACAATGTCCAGTCCATTTGTATTTGGCAATTTTGGAAAAAGTACTCTATTATCTATCCTATCTTTGTGAATCCAAAGCTTTATGCATAAACCACTTTCTATCATAACTTGTATCACCAACTTAAAAATATCTTTTTAGACCTTAAAACATATTCTTAGAGAAACGACTTAAGCCTTTATTTTTCTCAATCTTATAAACTTTACATCTCTATGTAAGTTTCTTTTCTGAATTTGGTAACCAAAAACACTGTGAAACTATAATTATCTAATCTTCAATCCCCAGCAGAGACCCAAGAAGGATAAAATATTACCTGAGTAAACAGGAAATACAGAGCAAGCAACTTCCAAAACTATAGACATGACAGAAACAGCTGGCTGCCTGGACAGTCACCCAAGATTCCTCTGCGGCATTGGGGCATCCATCTTTGGCCTACAGGACTATAACATCTGACAGACTTTTGTGTGAAGCAGGAAATTTGAAGGACTGCTCTACCTTTTCTTGGTAAAGTTTGGCAGCCACTTCCTTTTTTCTTTCTTTCTTTCTTCCTTTCTTTCTTTTTTTGTTTGTTTTTTAAAGACAGGGTTTCTCTGTGTAGCTTTGATGCCTTTCCTGGAACTCACTCTGTTGCCCAGGCTGGCCTTGAATTCACAGAGATCAGCCTGCCTCTGCCTCCAGAGTGCTAGGATTAAAAGTGTGTGCCATCACCTCCTGGCTGGCAGTCACTTTGTTTTGTGACCTGCTTGTCCAATCAGGACAGCATACTATCAGCAGTCAAGGCAAGGGCAGTTTCTTTGCCCAGT